TACTCTAACATTTTAAAAGAAAATTTTTAATTTTCACTAAAACTTAATAAATCAAAATCATATTTAACAAAAAAAAATGTACTTGCTTATGTTATTGTTGTTTGAAGTTTTCTCATTCCTTCTCATGCTTTTGGGGATCTCAAATCTGCCCAAGTGTGTAAAAGGTTGCTCTTCTTTAATTCATCTTTTTCTCTTTAGTTTTTTCTTCTTTGTCCAAGCTTGTTTGAAGCGCGTGCTGTTTTCTATGTATTTTATTAAAGTCTGTATCTTTTAGAAACACATTCAAGCAAAAATGACTTATTTGGCGTTTTGTTGTGTTGTTGGAAAGGAGAGAAATTATGGATAGAGGTGGCTTCATGGTGGTTGTGGGGAATGTGTCATTTTGGTAGTGAAACTGTGTCCTTCATGGTATCGTGGTGGTTATGAATTGGTGGATGAAGAAGAATCTCCTTTCATAGACCCTAAAAGAAGACCATGTGTATAATAATAACAATAATAATAATTATCATTATTATCATCATCATTATTATTATTATTATTATTATTATTATTATTATTATTATTATTATTATTATTATAAAAATAATAATGCTAATTACGATAATAATAATTATAATAATATTAATAATTGTAATTTGGGAAAGTATTATAAGAATTAATTTATCTGAAAAGGAATTTACACTATTCATAATGGGAGGGTGTCAGAATCATTAAAAACACACCCAAAACTCCTCTGAACGGACGTCAGGTGTCAAGCAACGAGGATCCGAAAATCATAGTGGAAGACAGGTGTCGGCAGATGAGCGGACGTTCGTTTTAAGAAAAACTGAGTTTTGGAAAGTTTACGTCACACTCTCTGCATGCATCTTCTTCTCCAAAATTCTGAAATTCTCATTTCTCCTCCTTCTCTCTAAAAGCTCTCCCTTCTCTCTACCAAAACTCACCCTTTCTCTTCTCCGATCACCGTTCAGGCACCGTAGAAGCACTTCTGGCGTCCAAAGCTTCAATTTGAATCGAACAGTTTTGAGTTCTGAACTGGTAAGTTCTTTTTCTCGTTAGTCGTTCGTTATCTGGTACATGCAAACCAAGTTCTGGTTGCATAAGTTCATAGTCTCTTTCTGAACCATTTTTGGTTTGTTGTTTGGTTTGTTGAAGAATTGTTGAGCGTGAGGGTAGAAGAAATTATAGTCGAGCAAATCGTATTCTGTCTCTAGGACGTTAGTTCACGCTTAGAGGTAAGGAAAGCTTATTTAATTTAATTTGTATGTTTACTGTGTTGTATGAACGTTCGTTGGATTGACTGAATGAATATGATGTATGATGATTGATATGCTTGGATTGTATGAAGTATGAAAATTGATTATGATATGAATGTATAAAGTTATGAAACTATATGTTAAGAAATGAGTTGGAAAATAAATGATTATGGTATGAAATTTCTCATATGAAAGTGTACGTTTGTCACTGAACGGTCATTGACCGTTCGGTTTTTCTGGTGAACTTAGTTGAAATGAGATTCTTTCATTTGGGGAGAATCCTAGTTGAGGACGAGCGTCTTAGTTTCGAAATGTTGTGCATGAGCGTTCGGCCAAGCATAATTGGTTCTTGGTATTCAATTACAAATTTAAATATGTATATATGTATTTGTATATTTTCATTTATTATTATTAAACACTACTCCAATAAGTATCTTATTATATTTATCAAGATTTCTAATATAAGTTACCCGTGCTCGGTCTTACACCAAGCGCTCGTATTGAGTAGTGCTCGGTCTTACACCAAGTGCTCTTTCTCTTTCCTATGATCTATATTGATGAAAATAGTGTTCGTCCAAATTTAATAGAGTTCTCTCTACCATGCTCGGTCATTGACTGACATTCGGTTTTCTTGAGGCTAAATTCAAATGAGCTAAGTATTTACAAACGTTCGGTTTCTTCATGTGAATTCTTCTAAGTATTATGCTTTGAATGTCTTGAAGTGTCTACATCCATTGGTTCCGGTCTAGAGCCTTAGTACTTGGCATGGTCTTTTCGGTGTTTGGTTGGAGCTCTCAAGAGTCAGTTCATCTAACTGGCTCACTTAGCAAGTAACGTTCGTTCTTGTCATTCTTGTTACATATGATTGTACTCGGTTTCTTTCTCAACCCGATAGTAACCATTTTGGTCTTAATCTATTCTGGAACTAGAGACCTCTCTGTCTCGTTCCAAGTGTTCGTTCTCGTTCTGAGTGAGGATTGAACGTTCGGTATCTGGTGTCCTTATGGATCTTTGTGAGAAGTGTTTAAGTGAGATGATTATTAATGAAAGACGAAAAGAATGTGATATGGATTGAAATGTTTTGGATTATGGACGAGCGTTCCGGGGAGGAACGACTCATGGATGAATATTGAAATTAGTAAAGTATGAATGTGGTTATGCTAAGTTGGCGGTTCATCCTGATGTTCCGTGAGTACTCGTCCTCACGTAGAGGAGGGTAGGTCATGTGTGGGAACGATAGGAGGTCCTAGTCCTTATGGTTAATTTGGACAAATAGGACTAACCTCGAGTGGCAACTGTTGAGGGCATCCCAGTTACTACATCACTCGGGTGCACGAACGCCTGTAACTACACAAATTTCATACAGTCCGGACAGTCAATCTAGTATTAGGCTTTGTATGAAACATATGATGAAATTTATCTTGTGTGTTTGATTTTGTGAAATGTATGTTTATACATGAATTAAATTACATAAGCTTACGTTGTGTTTCCTGTCTTGTCTTGTTTTGTACGTTCGTCTTGTCATTGCAATGATCATCCGTGTGGATGTGAGCAGAAGGAGACGAGCTGTTGGAAGAAGAGAACCTGGTCGAGGTAGAAGTGAAGACCGAACAGTAGGACGTTCGGTCAGTAATTTAGTTTATAGTAAGGTGGTCGTTCGATCACCTTCCCTTTTGTTTAGTATGACCGTTCGGTATTTGGTCTTTGTAAATCGTTCGGTAACACTTGCTTAACTTGTATAGTTTAAATTGTAGCTCTTTCTGTAAGGCCGTTCGACCATAAACCGTACGCACACTTTTAGTGTAAGACTGATCTGAATTACTATTGAATGAGATTATTCTATTATATAGTTTAGACTGTATTTTTGGGATGTTACATTAGTGGTATCAGAGCTGTTTTGTTCCTTAAAGAACACGGTAGGTTATGAGTATACTATGTTTTTGTTGTGTGCTCAACGTTCGTTTGATGAGTGTTTCAAACTCTTTGAGTTTAAATAATGATTGCTTTCTCTGCTTCTCAGAGAACTAATGACACCAAGACCTCCTCCTCAACCTACCGAGCGTGATGCATGTGACCACACCATACTAATGGAATCAGTAATCATGAATTGATATAATCATAAATCATTTAGGATTATTAAATTTTTTTCAAAAAGATTGTCATTAGTATTTTTTTTATTCACAAAGCATTTTAAAATTTGTTCAATATCATGAAAAAAAATTCAAGTATTTTCGACAAGGATTATCGAATGATAATGACATTATAAAGAGATTGAACATCGAAAATCTAAACTTCTTGCAAAACTCTTAAATGGGTTTGACAGTTTGGGAAGTCTATAATTATGTGATGAAGTGCAGAAAGAAATACAAATAAAGAAGTGAAGTGATCTTATTGTGATACAAGAAACTTTTGGTATTTACATCTTTGTTTTGTTGGAGAATCCTTTATAATCAAATTTAAATCTGCAGTCGACTAGTTTGACACTTATGACGGTAATTCTCTTTAAACCACAACCCCTTTTGTTTGAATATTGTCCATACATGGATTATTAGGCTCTAAGCAACTTAAATAGGACTTCCGTGCAAATTGTTGTAGAAAATTTGAAATATTTTCTCAATTATGAATAATTATTCAATATTGTAATCAAGTGTTCACGGTGAAATCAAAGATTTAGAGTTAAAGATTTAACAAATTAGTAAAATATACAAAAGGAAATGCGGTATAAAGCATACCTTTCTTAACAAGAAAATAAAATTATTTTTGAAGAATAGAAAATGTGAGGTTTGAAAAAAAAATAGATGTCAAAAGATGCACTCTACTTATTCGTGCCTTAATAACTCAGAGTGCCTTAAACATTATTTTATCTTATAAACGCAATGAGTGATTCATTCACATTCAGAAAAAGTCAAATGCAACAACATTCACTGGCTACTGGCTAAAGGGAAAGGACAGCATTTTTTAACATAATAAAGCATAAGAAATTTAAATATATCCAAATGAAAAATAGACGTTTGAAAATGATGAGATGGATTCAAATTATAACTTTGTGCATTGAGCGGCGTATGAAAAGTTTTCCCTCGCTGGTCTTGGCGGTTTGGTAACGGGAATTGGCCAACAGTTAAATAATCATAACTATAAAGCTTTTAGCAACACCAGTGATTAAACTAAAGGCGAGTTAAGATAGCACAGGTAACTGCACAAGTCAATGGTTAAAAATGATCCAATATTCAAACAAGGCGATGCCTGATCACTTTCCGTTCTTCATCCAACACAAAATTGGCCCTTGAAAACTGGTTGCTATTGAAGAATGGTTTGAGATCATAGATGTCATGCTCTTGAGCCTGCGCAATGTCAAATAAAGTCAATTCATTGATTACCGCTGTTGGTAACAATACTCAAAGGACAAATGTTCTTTACCTTATTGTACAAATCATCTACTTTAACATCTACATAAGTTAGCCCTGAAGTAGACCCTGTGACAATTTCTTCGAAATGCAGAGCATTTTTTACAAGCTCCCGGAGAATATAAAGCAGCAGTTCATTATAGTCCTTCTTGAAAGTCATGTACTTTCTAAAGCTCTGGGGAACAGCAAACACATTGTTTAAGGGGAGGGCTCAAGGTTATATTTGTTCAGTAAAAATTCCATTCATTTCAAATTGAAAAATAATTGCAAATTGGTACTAGTACTAGTACGAATATAAAAGAAAAGGCCAAAAGTTGAAAATTCATTCGTAACAAAATATGATGCCACGGAATATCAGGATTTAGGACAATTCCAAGGCATATTCAGAATATTTCTTTATACCTTTTGAAGAGCCTTCTGAACCCCAAACTTCTGTGTGGAAATGAATGATTCAAGTAGAACACGAATTGCCATGTCCACATCCTCTTGTGTAACATGTTGTCTGAGATGCATTCTAGCGTGAGCTTCAGACATCCGTATCATGGATTCGATGTGCCTTACAGCGATAGGGACTCCTTGTCCGTGCTATACAAGAAAACAAGAGAAGCATGTCAACAAATAGAATACAAACGATAACTACAATCTAGTTTGGAAGAAAAGTTTAAGACAGGGTATTACAGAAGATTCCCTCCGCAATTCCGCATATACATGAGACAGTTTATCCATATCCTGTTTGACATTACGTTGTTACATTTCTCTGCTACCAGGGCACACGCTGTTCATGTGCGAATCACGTGCTCTGGCGGCAGCAAATCCTGTTCTGTGGAGGATGCAAATAATTTTAATGCTTGGTCCCTGGTCCACCTGGCTCGAGTTGTTAGTACTGTTCATCAGGCTACTGTTCGAAATTTCTTCAAGTCATACTGTTTGAAAGATTTGGCTGTACTATCGATATTGTCAAGGTTCTGTTCCCTTTATTCATCAGTATCTAAACATAGTATAGAAACTTTTACTTTTTTTTTCATTTGCACGATACTGATTTCCTCTGAAACAAGCAATTCCCGCTCAGAATTGTTGAAAATTGACGATCCTATTATTCTCGTTTTGATGTCCTCCTGGCGTTGTGAAGGTTATTATTTACATTCACACACGCTTCTTTCTCTACCTCCTCGTATTAACGGTATTTATTAGTGGCGTTTTCGTTTTAAACAGATGTTTTGATCCGTCACTCCGTCAATTCCGTTATGACATAAATGCTTTGCAACGTTTTCGTTGTGACAGTCACTTCAATGTCACAACCCAGGGGCCTACGCATAGATGATAAGTACCTTAGTAGAGTCCAAAGAATGTCATGTCCACGTGCCCGTGCCTGCTGATCCAGAGGTCTTTCCCAAGAACCTGCTTGTGTTTTTGTGATCTTCAAGGGAAACTTCAGTATGACTTCTGTGTTTTGACTTTTGAGAGTTATTTGGCTTTTTTGCAGATACTTCCTCAAGAACTACTGAAGAAGTACATTACATATGCGAAGTTGAATATTTTTCCAAGGTTACAAGATGCC